GCCAATCTGCCTATATCTCCAGTCGGTGTCTCCAGCTTATTCACCTTCTGAGACAAGTGCCCCAAGATAGGGAGATTATGACGCTTAACTACTGGGCTCCCTAACTCGGGAGTTTAATATTCCTACTGTCAGGAAGCAGCCACTTGGAGATCACAGGCTGAATTCCTACTGGCGCTTATATGCTATGAACAGTGAGCACGCTTGTTAGCGCCTTGGTTTATAACAGCCACTCTGCAGTTATCAGTCTCCATTCTCATGATATCTTCGAAAAATGGGAATCTTCGGACCACGTCCTTGTGGACCATAACCAGCCACCAGTACTTCCTCCAGTCGTGCCCCCGTTAACGCGCCACGATTTTAGGAACGTACAGGCTACTACAGGAGCCCCCAAATTCATCCGACTAGAAATGTTTCCACTCTATTTTTTTCTGCGGCGGATAGTTGGCCCAAGTACTGGTGGTTTAACACTATAATACTCTGCTTAATTCGATTAAATCTAGCAGTTTGGTTAATTCAGAATTATTGTAGTATTTTACTCATCTGCAGTTTGAGCTCAAGTCTGTATTTCAACAATGAAATAATGGCGGACGTGGCATGTTTTGAAACCCTGAAGGCAAAAAAAACTCGCGGCAGCAAAACAAACAAACACTCGTCAACTCGAAATGAGCGCTTGCAGTCCAAAAGCATCCGTTGGGCTTTTTTTTTCCCTTGTTGTTTTCCCCTCTGAGATTATTGTCGATCCCTGTAAATATAACACCTGGTTTGACACCACGGCAGGCAGGCAGGCGGGGCTTCCGTTGCCTTTTCGAACTCAGCGAGGTTTTCTTTGCTCGCGCGTGTTTTGCACATTCCATAAATTAAATCAAAGGTGACATGAAGGTACTTACCCCTTCAACAATTCAAGGATGTACCAACTGAGGGCACAATCGCACTGCGGTACCAAATCCCAAAAAAATAGTGTAGAGGGATAGTCACACCAGGATCTCATTTCCCCAAACTACTTATTTGTGACCCCATTTGTCAGCGGCCTGAGGGGCCATGGCCCATGGGGATTGGGATTGGGAATTAGCAGGAGGTTACTGCAAATTCCCTTTCTTGTTTGGAATCAACCTGCTATAATGACAATTAAAAAGGCCTGAACGACCGTCCTGTTCAGATTAGACAGGTAATTGAATTGGTTGGGCTTAAAGAAAAAAGAAAAAAAAAATTTGAATCAGTGTGACTGGAGCAGGCGAAGAGGACCTCAAATCCAGGCAGCCCCAACCTTGTCTGAGGAGGGTTCATGAAATGGCACAGAAAGGGACCAGCGAGACGGAACGGTGGGCCCCATGAGCAGAGGGCTGAACAAAAAAGTGGGTCTCAAGATAGCCCACCCGTATTCGTAGCAAAAGTTGGGTTTTCACTCATGAAATTTTCTGGTTTTTTCGCCTTTTAATTTTGGAAAAAGAATTACTTGAAAATTTATTGGAATATTGATAGATGTAGGAGATTGTTTCACCGGCCTAGTACTCCGTGAAGCCGCACTGGTGGCGTTTTGTCGCCAACGGTAAATGCGGGAGCTACCGACGAAATATTTTTTTTGGGTAGAATGTGGTTTGGCTTTGGGGCCGTACTGGCGGCGCTTGTCGCCAACGGTAATTTACCTGCCGAGCAAAATTTTGGTAGGACTTTGGCTCGGATAAAATGGGAGTTGGGGAGTTCATTCTCATCTTGGAAGAATAAAAGCTCAAGCAACATAAGCAGCTAAGTGTAAACACTTGTTAGCCATCCATAGACAGGTAGAAGAGAGAGAAAAAAAAAGGGAGAAGAGAAAGAGGGGAGAAAGACAAGTTTTGCGAAAACCCCGAGCGCAATCAGCTTGTTACATTTGCAATGGTAGCTGATAGAAAAAAGTTTGCGCAAGCGCCATAGCGTGAAGTTTTACTGGCGAGTACCCGATACGTATTTCGGTCGGTATGCCAGTACACCGGCCATCATCAGGGGTAGCGCTGGTTTGTGTCAAATGGGGAACTAGCAAAGCTAGATACCTACTCTTAGTCACGTCAACACTTTTGACTTCAAAAAACTTCAGGCTTGACATCAAGCCGCGGTGTCCCAATAGACCAAAAAACAGACCCCGAACAGGTCCCACCCTATCAACTGTCAGGCCACCTCTACCGGGTCCAATGAGTAAAACATCTCACCCACTGCGCCCAAGCCCCTCCTATCCTAGTATTAAACGTTACTAGGGCCTTATCGAAAAAAACATGTGGAAACCTCCTTCTTCTTAATTCTACCTTCGAAGAAAAAAAAAGGAGGTCTCCGTGGCTGGGAGGGTGCCCATGCCATACGCCTTATGCAGGAAGGAAAAAATGACTGCAAATTTCTGCTTTTTGCTACAATATGACTCGAAGTTCAGCAGATTCTGGAAGACATTGTCACCCCCACTAATTAGACACTCCTGATTCTTATGCAAGGATTGGCAGTACACCTTAACAGGGTCATGCCCTTCCCGAATATAGCATCCTAAGTAGGGTCAGTCAAGCTCTTGGCTGGTTTGCTCCAATACCAAATGCTGATCATAGTATGCCCTTTGGAAAGTATTGAGAATCCCTTCCGCTTTCTTCTTGGATGCCTTGCTTCGCAATTTAGAGCGAACAAAAATGGATACGTCATCTACTAGTCTACAGCCTCGCACCAAACGCGCATCATTGCCCAGGCTCTGCAAAAAGACATGCTCATTATGTACACACATTAGACACGCAAGGGCAGGACTTGAAGACTTTTCCATTGGAATTCCTAACTTCTGCTTTATTACGGTACCCATAGCCATCGTGAAAGTATTATCTAAATCAAATGCTACAAATCTCTGTAGCAAAAAAAAACTCACCGATTTATATCCTACTTCACTCGCTGAGATCTTACAAAGCCTTACCAACTTCTTCCTAGAATGAACCAAACACTTGTAGTATTCTTTCTCCTCAAAGATGCTCACCGCCCATTCCACCGCCTATAGAATAGCTGAGTGCGGAAGAGAACAAAACATCTCCTTCACATCAAAACTTCCTGCCAATAGTCCTTCGTCGTCCTCAATGCATTTATTGATTGAACGTAAAAAAGACGGCAACGAATGTGTACTGCGAAGATTGAAATGACTGCCAACTGCTAACCTTTTCAAAAATTCATTCACGCATGAAGAAACAAGACTGGCAGCCCGTCTGGAAGGCTCAGACCAGGACGAACAGATCGGTCTCCATTTATTAGTATCCTTATGTTTAGGTATCACGTACGATTTTCCCAGACGTCCGCACCCAGCCCATGGAGCCAATTGGTCAAACTTCCCAACCTTATATCTCTTCTTACATTCGGCTAGAACTAGGTCCTCATCATCCCCCCGGATTTCCATCCCCTGATTCTTTACGAACAACATCTCCATTCCATGAGCATAAGTTGTGGGACATCAAGCAAAAGTGTCACCCGCATTATGATCAAGCGGGCACAACACCTGACCCTCAAAAGCTCTCTTGCAGGTAAGCACCTGATCCACCGTGTGGTAATTTCCGCCACTACTCTCGGTCGAGAAACAATCAGTGAGTTGAGCTGCTGGGACATCTATATTTTTACCAAAGAAGGAAGACAGAGAGAAACTTATCTGTTTTCTAAAATGAGACTTGTTACAGGAGTGGTTGGGAGATATGATATCCTTAGAGTTACTCAGAAAACTTGGGAGAAATTCAACTTCGCTGAACCTAAACGCTATGTGACCATTACGACGAGGAAACTTGTCATCCAACCCTTCGCAACCACATACAGGTTTGCCAATCACAGAGTACTTACGGAAGTTATGCATCACGTCACCTATGCTATCATTTCTTGTCCAAACCAATCTCATTCTTCGGCATACAAGATCCAAATACGGGGCAGGTACGTCCTAACTGCGAACAATCTTCTTGCAACTATCCCGAATTCCAGTTCTATTTAACGAGTCGTCAAACTGGATCTTAATCACAAGCCGAGCGGATAAGCATATGGACAGATTTCTTCGACAAGCATGAGAGAGGATAAGCTTCAAAGTGGATCGAGAGCGCTTATTAGAGATTGTACGGATAGCATCATAAGATTTGATGAAAGAGGCGAGATCCCAGTCCTTTAGCTGCTTCCTAGAAGATGGGTTGCTGAGGAGATGAATCAGGGTGTTTTTAAGAGGGAGTGATCGGGAGCAGAAATGCGTGACCGTGTGAAAGAAGATACATTGATCAATACGAAACCAAGATCGAGAATGTTTTAAGAGAGAAGTGGGAAGGTCAGTGGTTGAGATTGCAGATGATCCGAATAGACGACGCAGTAGTTTTCATTTCTCCGAAAATGTCGTGCCAGACAGGATAGAGACTGAGGAGGGTGTTGGGATTTTTTGATCGATTGCCTGCTGGAGAATAGAGATGAGACTCACAAAAGACGAACCAAAGAAGGAAGAGAACAAGAAGGGGGATGAAGACGTTTTGCTCAGACTACTGTTGACGGCTACTTTCTTTCGCAATCGCTCTCTCTTACTTGGTCGCTGAATACTGCGAGGCCTATGTTTCTTGGAAGTCGAGTTCAGAGAGGGATTATGAAGCTTTATAAAGAATTTCTCAGAAACTAGAAGATCCTGCTCGGCACATACAAAGATAGGGATAGCAACATAAGAATTCAATCCAACTCTACGGAACCATCTATACAATTTCCTATTCCCCTTTACGTTTCCAAGCGATTTAACTGCAGCAGCATGATCCTTCCATCTAACATCAACACACTTGCTTGTACAACCAATATATACGTGACGAAACCAAGGAGATACAAGAGCATAAATAACAGGACCGGTGCATTTAAGAAAATCATAATTACTCCTAATTAAAGCGGACAACAGATCACGAAATTTAATACACCACGTAATCTCACCTCGAAGAATTAACAAAATAACAACCAATCGATATATATACAGAATCTTTTTCGAAGATAGGTCATACCAATAATCCCGACAGAAGAGGGTCAGCTCCCTAAGTTGTGATGCGCCCAGGGAGTGTCCTCACTCGTCGGGAACGTCCTCTGTGGATGTGGCATAATCCTGATCCTCCACAGCCTGATCCGCCTCCTTGAGCCATGCATCGAAGTCCCTGCTAGCACGTATCTCCGCTACATCAGCCTTTGCTTGTTCAAGCTTAATGTAGCTTATCCCTTCATCTTCACAGGCTTTTTCCATGTCAGCCTTCTTAGCCTGCCGAAGCTCCTTCAGATGTATATCCCTAAATTTCGCCATCTTCTCCACTTGCCGATCTTGAGCTGCATTAGTTTCCTTGCGAGCAGTGCCTTCCCCGTTTCCTCTACCCGCTCCCTCACCATCAGACTCCACTTCGACAGTTTCGAAGGACCCTTTCAGATCCCGCGGTGTAGTCTTCCTCGCCGATGCTTTGCGAGCACGAATACGGACACTCGTCGCCCCCATCCGAGCCATCCTATCCTGCATAAAGTCTACCTCCTTTGCTGCCATCTCCTTGTGACGCAATGCATCCTTGTATGCTTTCTGGAGGGCCTCCATGTCACGAGGAGTATACATGGCTGTGGTGCTCGGATCGACTCGTTGCTTTCCCTTCGCTGGTTCCTCCGGTGGACTCTTCAACGTGACCTCACCCGATCCTCGCTTCTCCCGCATGCACTCGAACTCATCCCGCAGTTGATGGAGATCTTTCCTGAGGTGCCCGTTCTCCGTTTTAAGGGTGGAAACCTCGGCACTCTTCTCCTCAAGAACAGCACAAAAGGAGCTCAACTCCTTAATTTGTAGATGCAGCGCTGCTATCTCATCCTGCTTGCTGACATCTGCTTTGTCCTTCCCTTTCTGGTCTTTAAGCTCGGCAATCTCCTGCTGCAGCCTGTCCTCCTCACTCTCTTGATTCCTGATCTTCATTAGAGCCTCCTTCTCTTTCCGGAGGGCTTCTATGCGTGAATCCCCCGAGCCTGCCGCAGTCTTTTCCCGTAGCTCATTAAGTTCCTTCTGCAGCTTGCTAATAGTACTTGCATCGTCATCCGGAATCTCAACCTTCCTGCCAAGGGCAGACTCACAAACTGCCTTGACACTCGTTCGAACGATCCTCCCCAGCCTTGCCTCCTGCTCCTCCTGCTCCTTCAAAGTTGCAAGCCTTTTCTCCTCCTCTGCTCGTAACTTCATCTTTTCCTCCTCCAGCAGCTCCTGCTTAGCTGCTTCACGCTTCCGTAACTCGCGTTCCTCCACCTGCTCCGAAAGCAGACTATAGATCTTGTCAAACTTGTCCTCCTCATTACGCTCTTGGCGTCGGTATCCTCCCGACCATGGCTTTGAATACCGTTGATTATAATTGTTCTGGTATCCTCCTCCGTCATTTCCGTAACTTGGGCCATAGCCCCTATTCTAGTTCTGAGGTGCCTGGTATGGCACGATCGCGTTGGAGGTGCTGGCTTGCTGGCCAGGCGCTGGTAGTAGACCTCCCGGATTGCTGCCTGATCCGCCTCGAATACGTGCTGCCATCTCCGCTCTGTTCGGTTGATGCTTGAAGGGACATTCCCGGATGAAATGACCCGGGAGCTGACAGAAGTGGCAGTTATACGTCATCACTTCACACCTGGACTGGACTATCACGTCCTCCTAGAAAATACCGACGGGCTCCGTGCCCTAAAACAAACAGCCTAACTGAAATAATGCGAAAGTATGCAGAAGGAATAAGACGTAAGCGGTAGGCGGTAGGTGGTAGGCGAAAGGACGCAGTCACGCGGATAGGGTTAACATCCCCCGCTGGTTAACTGTGTGTATGTCGAAGGAGAATTAAAGCTCAAGCAACATAAGCAGATAAGTGTAAACACTTGTTGGTCATCCGTAGACAGGTAGAAGAGAGAGAGAAAAAAAGGGAGAAGAGAAAGAGGGGAGAAAGACAAGTTTTGCGAATACCCCGAGCGCAATCAGCTCGTTACATTTGCAATGGTAGCTGATAGAAAAAAGTTGGCGCAAGCGCCATAGCGTGAAGTTCTACTGGCAAGTACCCGATACGTATTTCGGCCGGTACGCCAGTACACCGGCCATCATCAGGGGTAGCGCTGGTTTGTGTCAAATGGGGAACTAGCAAAGCTATATACCTACTCTTAGTCACGTCAACACTTTTTACTTCAAAAAACTTCAGGCCCGACATCAAGCCGCGGTGTCCCAATAGACCAAAAAACAGACCCCGAACAGGTCCCACCCTATCAACTGTCAGGCCACCTCTACCGGGTCCAACGAGTAAAACATCTCACCCACTACGCCCAAGCCCCTCCTATCTTAGTATTAAACGTTAGTAGGGCCTTATCGAAAAAAACATCTGGAAACCTCCTTCTTCTTAATTCTACCTTCAAAGAAAAAAGAAAGGAGGCCTCCATGGCTGGGAGGGTGCCCAAGTCATACGGGCTGAGCGCTGATAGTTGTTTTATCGGCGACATCGGGTGTTTTTTGCTGTGATATGTAAAGTCCACGACACCTGGTTGGTTTTATCTATCTATCTACCAACCTTGTGTGTTGGGAAATGGAGAAGCAGTGTGACGAGTCCAGCCACTATTTTCCGAAATCGGGCATCCCATTTTTTTAAGAAAAAAATAATACGATTTTGGGTACGCAATGTGGGCGCGCCCTGATCTAGGCCAGTCTTCCAATTCCAATTTTATTTTGTTGGATGTCCCGAAGGACAACGAGGCCCTTGGTGTGTGTGTGTGTGTGTGTGTTTTTTTTTTTTTTCCCTGCTCAATGTCCAAAAAGAAAGTCTGATAAACAGATCTGCAACCCCAAGGAAGCCTGAACCGCACAGACAGGTTTCTCACCTTGCACCCTTGGATCACCTATAAAATCGACGGTCGATGGGACCAAGATCACCGTGGATACAGTTCAAGTTTACTTCCTATGCTAATGATGCTGAGTACAAGGACTACCGTGAAGCGAATAGAAATCCTGGTCAATATGGATCTATTCAGACTGAAAATTGCACCAAATACTGCTATAATGACCGGGCGTTCTATTAGGGTGAAGACGGTAGCGCAACCACTGACGGTGGCACTCCCACTGCCTCCAGAGTGTCGCTACCCATGAGACTGTATTGTCCAAAAAGGTTTTATGGACCCAGCGAAACAGAAACTCTACAGTGTAACCCTTAGTAAGCATAACCAACTGACTTAGGGCATACTCACAGGAGGACCAAAAGAACCTAAATCCCAAAATTTGAGTCAGTTTTTGGGTCACACTGGAGAGGCCGGCTGCCCAAATGCCCCAAACCGTGACCCTTTTGTCAGCGGCTTGCGGGGCCGCGGGAGGACCCTTTTTGAGACCACCTCCAGAGGTGGTCTCAAATTACATTTCGTTTTTTTTTTTAAATGTTTGTGAACAGAAGAAAATAGTAGAAGAAGAAGACAGCCCACCAAATAACTGGAAGTGCGACCGGAAACATTTAGGGCCGCGCCACACCAATGTCGAAAACTGATTTTTCGACATTTTCTCCTCGCCGCACAGCATGTCGAAATCCGAGATGGAAAAAAAAATCAGGAGCTGTCAGGGAAAGGGTTTCGACACCTCCTCTCGAGACGGGCTCTTTTCCCAGCCTGCAACTTGGACATTTTCAACAGTCGAATTCTTGCCCGAATGTCGAAAAAGAGAACTCACCAACGCCTGTCCTATCTTCGCCCCAGTTTGTCTCTTTTGTGCATACGACTCGTGAGTTCTCCACTTGGACATGCGGTGTGGCGAAGAGGGGTTTTCTGTCGAAAGAGGGAATGTCGAAAATCTCCTGACATATGTAGAATTTCGTGATGTTTCAACATTGGTGTGGCGAGGCCCTTACCGTGTGCCGAAGGCCTGCGTCTACCAAAGGCCTGCGCGTTATACTGGCGTGAAAAAAAAAATAAAAAAAAAATTCCATCTTTTTGTTTGGTCCTCCCCCACGTGACCGGGAGCACTTGCCCTGAGTGCAAAGTGTCAGGGTCTTGACTTCGTCCTTTCTGGATGAAGTCCACCCGTTATACTGGCATGAAAAAAAGAAAAAAAAAAATCCATCTTTTTGTTTGGTCCTGGCCCATGTGACCAGGCGCACTTGCCCTGAGTGCAAAGTGTCAGGGTCGTGACTTTGGGTCTCGTTAGACACTCCTAAAGGATCCTAAAATTTTTAGGACGAGTCCTAAAGGATTTTTAGGATTTCGTGCGGCGTCGTTACACGCAATCCTAAAAATCATCTTTAAGGATTCGTCCTAAGAGGTCTCCCGCGACCGGTTTTCATATGCGTATACGCAGCCGCGTCGCCAATGTTCATCCATTCCTGCCAATGTCCGTCCAATCCCCGCCAACGGCTACCGTTCGTGGCCGTTGCCCGCGTCGACCTGCAGAAAAACTCCGATGTCCAACCACTGACCCGACGGACCGCTTCTGCACCAGCAACTCCGTGTCGACGGTGCCATCCGCATGACGCAACGAGTCCGTGAAACGCGGGAATCCTAAATTTTTCAGTAGGTCGGGGGCTACTGGAAAATTTAGGACGATTTTGCCTGGGGAATCCTAAATCCTTTAGGACTAATCCTAACGCTGTTTTCACATTTTCGATCCCAAAATTGGATTTAGGATTGCGTGCAACCAAGACGCAATCCTAAAAACAGGCACTTTTAGGAGTCTCTAACGAGACCCTTTGTCCTTTCTGGATGAAGTCCGCCCGCGTGACCACACGGGGACCAGATGCCTCAAAAACCCCGAACCAAATGCCTCAAAGTTTTGAGACTTTAACCTCCAAAAGTGGGAGAAACAGATTGGTACACAATATCTGTTGCAGGCATCTGAAGCCTCTCCGAAGTTATGGATACCAGACCTGAAACAGGTTAGAGTGCAAGACTTCTGGGAAAAGAAGGAAGGGCTAACGGTGATATCTCTACTTGATCAACGACTTGATCAACCTATCTCAGAATGTAATCTTGATCCAGCTGCATGGGGATGGAGACATTGGAGAGGTCTAGGGCAACATGGCTGCACCCTTCCGCTGGACCAAATGAAGTCTACCCCAGAACTCCTACTCCCTGTCAGATGCCCAGTGGTAGTGGCAACAGAAAGATAGGAGAACGTTTTAGCTGGATCCGGAGAAAAGGTCTTAACAAGTTAAAACAACCGTGAAAGGACTGTGGGTGCAGTTAAAGATGTTGCCATTGCAAAGACACGCTGCGATACTGTGGCTGTTATCTTTGCTGGTCACGCCCTCTGCACAGAGTCTGCAGCTCTGCTGTCTGGCTGACGGGTAAAGGAATGGAGATCCAGCTAACTCGTAAGCGCTGTGTATGCATTGGCCGTTTGAGTCTACCTCCCACTTATGGTGGGACTGTCCAGCCTCAAGAATAATTTGGGAGTCACGTGGTGGACCTGGTGTCGGTGCACTGGGAGGGCCTCTCAGAATGGAACTGGGAATGGGACCGCTCTTGGGTCCTAACAGGGATATTGCCGGAGAATGTTCAACCTTCAGAAGGCTGTGGTTATGTAGTCCAGGCATGCAGAGCAATTATTTGCTCAGTTTTTTTTTTTTTTTTTTTTTTTTTTGCTCAGTATTTTGGGACAACAGGAATAAGGCAGTCTTTCAGAAGAAAGGCACTTCCCAATGGGATATAGAGATCAAGTTGAACATCTGACAGTGTGCAAGACTTAGGTACTATATAAAGGCAGATTGGCATATTAGGAATAGTAGGAATTCGATGACAGGAAAAGACCTCAGATGGTTTCTCAGGACATGGGGTCTGCTTTCAACAAAAAAAAAAAAAAAAAAAAAAAAATGGGGCCAAGAATTCCAACTGGCTTGTCACAGTGGACTCAGAATGGCAATGGCAACCTTAGTACGGCTCGAAGACCAGACGCTTGCCTTCGACCATATTTTCCAAAACAAAGTTGTGCCGCCGCAAGCTGGAATTCTGCTCTCGGTTGAAGCAGCAACGATAGTTACTACCAGGACACTCGGTAATATACAGCCGCAGGAGGTAGGCAGGAATAGGTGGATGTAGTGCCCCCCCCCTCTCCCCCCC